TGGCTTTTGGAGGCTTATCAACCGGTAGTGGATTTCGAGAGAGAAAATCAACATGCGCCATGCTGTTTCTCTTCCTATATTCAACCTCAAACTCAAAGGACTGTAAGTATGCCCACCAACGATGGACTCTCGGCGTCAAATCTTTTTTGTGTCGACTAGCTTTGAGTGAGTTGCAGTCGGTAAATACTACAAATGGGCGGCCATGTAGATAATGGCGAAAGTGTTTTACTGCATTATATACCGCCAGGGTTTCTAGTTCATATGAATGGTATCTGGCTTCTGACCCCGTAGTGCACTTGCTGAAATACTCTATTACCCTTGGTTTACCGTTAACCTTGTGCATCAATATGGCACCATAGCCATCTACACTAGCGTCGGTGTGAAGTTCAACCGGTAGCTGTGGATCGTAGATGATAAGAACCGAATCACCAACTAATGCAGATATTATTTCTTGACGCACCTGCTCGTGCCTATCGCGCCACTCAAATTTGCTGTTTTTTGTCGTTAGCAGATACAATGGTTTCATCAATTCAGAAAACCGAGGGACGAACTGTCGAAAGTAGGATGACAAGCCAATAAATTGCCTCAGTTGTGTAACCGTCTGTGGTGGTGGCAATGCGGCCAATGCCTGAATCTTTCGTGGGTTTGCTCTTATTTCACCATTTTCAATTTTGTACCCTAAGTACTCAACACTTGTCTGCAGAAAGGAACACTTGTTTATATTGTAGGAAAACCCAGCACTAGTCAGTCTTTGCAATACCTCCTTAAGTCTCATGAATGCCTCCTCTTTTGTACTAGCAACAATCAAAACATCGTCGATGTAAACAATTGCGTACGAATGTGCCACTTCACCCAAGGCTCGCATTATGGCTCGCTGGAACACTGATGATGCGTTCTTTAAGCCAAAGGGCATGGCCACGAATTCGTATTGGCCTTCTGTTGTAACAAATGCTGTGCGTTCAACCGAATCGGGATGTATTTGTATCTGGTAGAAACCACTCGCCATGACGAGACTTGAGAAATACTTGCCGCCGCGCAGTCTATCAATTTGGTCCGATATTAGAGGCAACGGGTATTTATCTGAGACGGTGTTAGCATTCAATTCTCGATAATCGATACACAAGCGATCGCTGCCATCCTTCTTTTTGACTAGCAACATGGGACTCGCAAAAGGGGAACAGCTTGGACGTATGACTTTCGATGCTTAGAGTTCCTGTATCTTGTTTCTCACAACTAACTTTTCTTCAACGCTCAATCTATATTGACGCCTCATCACTGTTTTATTGACATCAATCAGATGGATTTCTAATTCACCCGTGGTAACTCGGCGGCTAGGTATACCCTTTATAAACGCTGGTGCATGCGACTTCAATATTTCTGCAAGTTCAACTTGGTCGGACTGACTCAAATTCATTCCTCCATTCACTGTATCCATGATATTCAACTCAACAATGTTTGACAGTGTATTGACTGTGCTGATCTTGTGTAAAACAAACTTATTGGCATCTATGGTTACGCCAAAGCCCTGACCTAGAATTTCACGGCCAATCAGTACATCATACCTTAAATATTTGTCCATAAAAAGGTGAAACAAAATTTCAATGGAAAATTCACATATCTTTACGGTGGAAAGAATTTGAATTGTGCACATCACAGAACCTTCACCTATGCCACTTATATACACCGTGTTATTTATCCTTTTACCCATGAACTTATCAGTTAGTTTTCTTTTAATAAGGAGCACTCTGCTCCTGAGTCAAAAAAATATGAAACGGGCTCACCCTGTTGGTACAAGGTCCCCTTAGGATCGACGACGGTGCACACATCCACTCGCTTCTCATACGTGTTGCCCTTGGTTGACGATGATGTAGCCGTACATTTGGTTGCAATATGGCCCAACTTACCACACTTGAAGCAGGTTACGGCTGACATGTCCCTCTTCGGTATGGAGTTGCTGTGCGACGAGTTGCTTTTTGGGTCAGTTATGTTTCCAGGTCTTCTGCTTCGGCATTCTGCCATCTTGTGTCCCGGTTTGCCACAAAAGTGACACTTCCCGTGCCACGAGGATCTCTGCTTCTTCCGCTCTGGGCCACTAGTGTAGTCTGGTGTGCTACAGTCACTGCGCTTTCCAAAGGTAGAGGCGCGCAATTGTTGCTCCAGTTCACTTCGAGTTTTAATATTTGTTGTGAATAATAGGTGCTGCAGTCGTTTGTCTATTTGCGCAGTGTGCGCCAGCACGACCGATACAGCGATTTCTTCGTTACTCATTTTCTTCCACTTCGCAAGCAGTGCCGTTACTTGTCTACTGGCATACACTGACACACACTCGCTTGGCTTTGGTCCACTGCTGAACATATTCAACACACTTGCAGCTGGGGTCTCGGCGCCTTCATACTTCTGAATAAACAATTCGCGGAATTGTGGCCATTTTATTCCACTGTAACAAATCTGAGCCAGCCATTGAGAGGCACTACCTTCCAAAGAAGTACTCAGCGCCATGACGAGAGCGCTTCCTTCGAGCATGTTTTCCGCCATAATTATGTCAACGGTTTTACACCAAGCAGCTGCATCTGCACTTGCAATATCGGGACAAAACTTTGGCAGCGGCACTTTATTGGGTTGCGACGCCATCTTGGGTGTCTGCATGGATTTGAGTAAGTCCATGAAGTTTTTGTTTTGCGCCTCCAATAAGGCACGCCACTGATCATTTGATAAGCAAAGAGGAGAGACCGTGTACTAACGGTACCTCTGCGGACTCTGGACCCGTTATAACGGTTTAGCTGCAGTTTTGGACCCGGTATAACGGTGAAATTTCGGACTTCGGACCCGCACAAAGAGGAGAGACCGTGAATTAACGGGACCTATTGTACTTTGGACCCGATCACGCGATCTGTCTGAGGGGAAATTATGGGACAATGTCTGCGTATAAAAGGAGGACGCACGCACGCTGGAGGGGCAGGCAAGTGAAAGTCGTGCAAGAGATCGTACCAACGCGAGTGGAAACCTAAGTAAATACCAAGTGCCAAATTATTCGGATCAAGATCGCCGAGTCAAGAAGTCCAATGACGATCACGTCCACATAAGCTGATACTGCCAAACTGAGAGCCAGAGGGTCCAAGGTAAGGTGTACGGCGCATCTACGAGTCTTAAAATCGACGAAGTTGGTGAAGTCTTAGCAGTGGATGTTTTGCAAAAGGTACCCAGTGTCGGTTCACACGAGAGTGAGGACCTGCTGAGGGCCAGGTCGACGAAGATCCAGTGGAGTTCTGAGAAAGATACCAGGTGTCGGTCCACACGAGAGTGAGGACCTGCCAAGGGCCAGGCTGACGAAGTCCCGACCAAACTCCGGGGTGGAGCGAATCACTGCTGTATCACTGCTTAGCCCCGCTAGGGAGGTTCTGCTTAACATCCTCCAAGTTGTGAAAGACCAGTAGCGAGCCTATTACGCGAGCGGTACCCAAAAGACTTGGTGAGGCAGAAGACGCGAGGTAGGCGTGCAGCCGCAGGAGTCGACGCACGAATAATCACCGGCGTCCACGAGGGCATTATCGTCGCCGGAGAGCAGCTTTTCATATCGAATCTATTCCATAACGAGAATCAATAAACCAAATTCCCTATTGCTATAAACCCATTCTGTATTTTTCTTGGTTTTGGGATCACGCAACAATAAATTTGGTGGGACGAACAAACGAGCTAGACGCGCGTTTACGTAGCAAGCAAACAGAAAAACAGTTGGTTACAATGTCATTATCTGAACATTCGGTCACAAAGCGAGATAGCATTAAACAAAGGTTTTTTCTGAAAAACGCGGATATGCTTATCGACGAACTCCTGTGAAACTTCAGAAATTGGCCTAGACCTATAAAAACATTAGCTCCATCGGCTCTTGAGGTGAACTGCGGAGGAAGACAACATGCTCTAAAAACTATGCGTCACGGACTCTTTCATGATAAAGTTAGGAGGAATGAACGCCAAGAATAAAGCAGGCACTACAACTTGGGGAAAAGATCCTGGAAGCGTTTTGAAATAGCACTTTTATTGGCAGACTCATAATCTGCCCAAAGATTCAGAAGGCTTCTTCGCTAAACTGACACCCAAGTTCAAGCGCCCTTTGAGAAGAACTAGCTAACATAAGTCCAAAAAACTCCCTTTTTATACTTTTGCAGAGCAAAGGGTATTAAAACTTCAGTCAGAAGTTTGCAACGCAGTGAAGGAGACACCTCAGACCCCATAAAGTATATATATTCTTGATCAGCATCACAATCTGAATCAAAATTCGTCTGTCCTTTTCTCTTCAAACTAGTCTCTCAGTTTTAAAGCTATATTGCTGAAACTCTCCCAAAAATTGAGTAGTTATGGCACGCAGTATATAAGTCGGAACGGGACGGATCGGGCGACTATATAGGATAGCTCCCATACGAGAGAATGAAATAAAAAATTCTCACGCCGTTGTTTTTGATCAGACCGACTTGATTTCTTCAAGATGGCGTTTTCGAACTGTTATTGAATTTCGGATTAAATTGGATCAAAATCGGATAACTCATCATATAGCTGACATAAGAAAGATAAAAAAAAAATATATATATATGGTATAAATAACGGGAATAAAATGATGACGTCGTTGTTTTTCATCTCTCGAGCTTGATTTTCAAAAAAGGGAGCTTTTTAATAACCCTTGAATCGAGAAAAAAATTTCATTTCATGGGAAAGATCGAAAAATCTATATAGAAATAACGGAAAAAGAAAATTATAACATCGCTGTTAATCAGACAAGCATGATTTTTGGAAAATAGATTTTTTAACGGCTCTTGAATTACGAATTAAAATTTATAAAAAAAAAATCCCCATAGCTTCGATGTTGTTCAGCCTTTATGTATTTTGATATATTGAGGACTGCAAGGGTATATAAGCTTCGGCTTGCCAAAGCTAACTTCCTTTCTAGTTTTGTTTTATCTTCTTCCACCCAGACTGTTGATATTTCTGCAAATAAGTTAGATATATTTATAATGCTAAGGCCATAGGTTGTTTTATTACAATAATGAATACATCGCAATATATTTTACAATATTTTTAATAGAGGTCTTAGTGTACATTTTTTTTAATCAAAGGGATTATTTACTGAAACTGATTCACGTTTGCCTCGATCTTCTTTTTTGCAAGTTTTTTTGGTTTTTTGATTCATAATTCCCATAGATACTACTTTTGCAATTACAGAGATAATATACGAAGAGTCCGAGTTCAAATGCACATTTTTTTTAATAAAATATTTATTTTTTGCATTGCAAATAACACATTTCAATTCTTTTTGATGTTTTTCAGAATTAAAATGAAGACATTCTTTGTGAAATGAATGCTGACAAAGAAAATATATGGTCTGCGTATTTAAGGTTTCACGGCAGATGTCACATAAATCGTTACGAAACTCTATAGGGTTGTTTGTATAGAGAGAGAGTGTGCAGCTGTATTTCTTTAAGTTATCTTTTAAATCTGAAATAAGCTTAAGTTCATTTGCGGAATCCACTATATTGCTGATTATTTTTTCTTTGAATACAGGTTTAATCTGTATTGACTTTATTTTTTCATTATAACAAGAGCTTTTCAACATCATAAGAAATGATCTTTCACTTATATTGAAATCTAAAGTTATATTTGGATTTTTTTTAATTAACGTATGTATACCCCTATTTACAGTTTCTCTCTGTTTTGTAGCGGCATTCTGTTGGTTGTTATTGAGTTCATTTATTCCGTTTAAAAATGAATAAAGTCTGCACATAATTAAAGCTTTGTCCAAACGTAAGCTCTTATTTTTTAAAAAATCCAAAACAAAACGAGTGGTAACTTTTTGTCCCCGCCATAGAGCTAGATAAAGAATAAGTAAATAAAAATATATCTTTTCGTCACTGGCCGGATAAGTTTTGATAATGTCAGCTAATATTTTGGAACAATAATCGTTGTAATCTGGCAAAATGGAAAAAAAAGACAGAATATTTTGTGCATTTTGAGCACTTTCCGATTTAATATTTTCCAAAAACGTTGTAGGATCCATGATAAGCGTTTCTGGTCCAAATTCTAGCAATGTGTGCATTAAATGTTCCTCTTCATTTTTATCGTAATTATGCTGAGTGTATCCAAAATAAATTTTTAATAGATTTAAAAAATCTTTCAATTCCAGATGTGTACAACTTGAAAGTTCTTGTTGAATTTGTTTACGATTTTTGCAGCACTCAAGTAATTTTGTAACATGTATTGATACGTTACTTGTTTTTCTCGATTCCGATAAGTAGTCAATAAGATAATCATTGTATCTAGAGTATAAAAGTTTTGAAATTACAGCATACGGCCTAATAAAACCAATAGTTTTTTTAAATTCATTTACTGCCCTACTTATGTCGCCTTTAAGTAGTAAATAATTTCCGTACTGAAACCTTACTAAAGCCGCTTTATTTGAGGAAGTAAAACCTTCTCGATGTAACAACCTTAATGCAATATCGTACATGTTTTTTTCAATAAGGAGGCGTATTTTATTCTTTATACTGCACTGCTCTAACAAAAATACGTTGCCAGTATTATTAGTATGACTTATAATATAGCAAAAATCATTTTCGCAGACTGTACAAACCCAGTCTTGGAATTCCTTGTAAAAAACTATTATTTTATTATCTGTATCTACAATAATTACAGTCGAGATATTTTTTTGTAAGATTGAAGTTTTGGGTTTAACAACAACAATTAGATAGTGACCCAGCCAAGCCAAACATTTCTTTATGCCTTCAATAGCAAAACAAGGACCTCTTCCATCACAGGTATAGCAATATACAGCATCTGATCGTCCTACCACCAACATCGATTCTTCAAAATCTCTGTATCCGTCCTTACGCATCGTGCAACAATGGTTGACATTGTTTTTATTATTATCGAGGACAAACTTTTGTTCCATTAAGCTCTTTTCTTTTAACAAAAAACAATAAACTCCTTGAACACATGTAACAAACATGATTGGACTCGAAATATCCGATTGCACGGCCTTAAATTCAAAATGTATTCCATTGATTTTGTATCCAGAAACAGTATACTGGCGAATATTTGCAGAAAAAAGTTTACTCATTTTACCATAATGCAATAAAAGATCACCATTCTCGAAACCTACAGCTAATGTAAGTAATTTTTCATCAATGCTTTCTGCATTAATGCAAGTAGCTGAACTTGTTACTTGAAAATATGCAGATGCAATTATTGGAGCACCTTGTTTTCGAGTCAATCTTGTTAAATCGAATATATCAATATGAATATCATAATTCGTATCCTGTGTCACAGTTGCAAGCCATTTGTTTGATGTAAGAGAACATAATTTAAAATTATTTCTTTTAGTTGGTGATTTGAAGGTAATACAGTCCCAGTTGGAAAAGTATACAAAAATAAATCCGTCTTCATTGCAGACCACTATTTTTATTTTAGTTTCTTCACTGTTTAACTTGGATTCGTTGTAGCAGAAGCACGATGTTTCTGAGATGGCCGGGCATTTGACAAACGGTAATGGAACTATATTAAATAAATTGACTTTTTTCCATTCCAATACGCTCATATCCATTTTATTGATATAATTTTTATCTGAATTTCAAAGTGTCATGCATTAAAAGCCACTTCAGTTAAGAAACATCGAAGAAAATAACTACTAAAATTGAAATGATAATAAATGCACAACGTGAATCTTTTTAATATAAAATAAATATACTGCTTTCACACAAGATATTTTATTTGGGGTATTACCACAGACACCCTTCGGTCACAATGTTAGGAATTTGGATAGATGTAGAACATCAACAAAAAGCTGATATTAACGCCTTATCACTCAACAGCCACAGTACCCTGTGCAAAATACACTACATACCCTACCATTTAAAGGTGTAAGTGATGAATTGATGGTAGAATAAGTGCGTATGAGGTAGCCTTGACGGCGACGACAGTCCGCTATTGTGCAATAAAATGAGTGCGAGGAAAAGGTGTTTTCTTGAGAGTGTGAAAAGGACAATGGCCTGCCCTCTGACAATAAGTCAAAATCGTATAAGTTTCGGACTTTGACCAAACTTGCACCTCATAATTGGTCGATTGCACACTAGGGTTAAGGTTAAAAATACCTTTTAGTTCGATAAGCTGAAGTTCACTAAAAGATTAGCGATTAATTATTATACGCAGTATAGAAGTCGCAAAATATCGGATCGAACAACTATGGGGCCGCCCATTAACCTCGTGACGCTAATTTTTGACTTTTTTGAACATCTCCGTCCTTTTACAGGTCTCTTTTGTTTTGGGAACAAGAAATGGGTGCCAAATCCAGTTAATGTGGTGGCCGATGCATGACAAAGGTGTTGTTCTTGGTAAAAAAAAAATCTGTCAGAAACAAAGTCAATCATCTGCAGGGCCTTGTCGTGATGCAAAAATGTTTTTTTTTTCACAATTCTGAACGTTTTCTTTGTGTACACCACCACAGCCGAAGAGGAAGTTGCTAACATCAAGAAAAACATCCCCGAACTTAATGATCTTCTTAATTTTTTAGGAAGCGCTCCCGACTGCCGTTCACTGAGTGACAGTTGGCTGGTAGAAGCTTACTGTGAGCTCCATCCACGGCTCTATCCATGGCTCCAGTGACGTAAAAAACAAATGCGTAATGCACATTTTCGGGCTAAACGCCCCATTTTTTATTAGATACGCTGATCACGTTTAATTGTTTACTACTTTTCGGGCTAAACAATCCAGATTGTATTTTCAAAAGAGCCATCGTTGATGGGTTCCGGAAAGAAATTGAAAATAGTACCTTGTGCATCTAGTGCAGTAAGAACGAGATTACACTCGTGAAGTTAGCGCCCGAGCGCAGCGAGTGTGATCTCGTATTTACCGTTAGAGATACACACGGTGCTTTTTGTCTGTAAACCCGTAAAATTTGGCATTTTGAGTGCAAAACTGCCGAATACGCACGGGTTACGGTAAACAACTGAAATCAGCGACTTACCGCACGGACTACAGTCACGAAAAATGCCAATTTGCGGGGCTCTAGGACAAAAAATATACAGGGTGGGCCACTTGATTCTTAAAACAAAAACAAAAAAAGTGGACAATTTTTTTTTATTCCAAAAATCATTTATTTTGGTCCAAGGAGATTTTTTACAAATTATTATTAAAAATGATATCACGTAAATGGGCACCTTTAGCTCTGACAGCCGAATGCATTCTTTTTTCCAGCATTTTCCATGACTTTGGCCAATGTTTCAGACGATATGGCGGCTATTTTTTTTTTTTTTTTTTTTTATTTTAGTCCCACGGCCCACTTTCCCGCCCAACCGACCGAGGGGCGACCGCCGTGTAACGTACGGCACGATTCGCGATAATTTTGACGCGAAAGAAAAGTTAAGTTAAATTAAATTTTATTTTAATTTTAAATTTAAAATAATAAAATTCACGAGAGGAGTGTCGCGACTTAGAAAAATAAGAAAAAGGCCGAGGAAAATTAGGAGGAAGACAATAAGATCTAATTTTCAGCTAAAAAAGTCTAGAGAGATCGCTTTAAGAACGGCAGAGAGTCAGAAATAGATATAATAGGATAAAGTCTATTATAGTCAGAACACAATACTCTGTAGGGATCATGCAGCTCATAGTTAGATCTACATTGATTTAAAATTAGGGGGATGTAATTTCTGGTTAATCTACTTGGAACAGAAAAGTTTAGCCTGCTAACTAAGTCGGGGCTATCAATTTTACCACAAATAAGATTAAACATAAAAACTGTTCCAAGCATCGTTCTACGGTTGGCTAGGGAGGGTAAATTAATTATAAGTAGTCTACTAGAGTAGGAGGGTAATAAAAGGTTTGCATCCCAATTTAGGCGCCGTAGGGCAAAAAGTAAAAAATTTTTTTGGAATTGGGATTTACTTATAAACTATGTACATAATATATATTGTTTCAAAAAAAAAAAAATATATTTTTTTTATTTATCTTCTCCTCTTCTTCCGGCGACGGCACAGGGGGCGGTCCAAAGCATCCCGCGTTTTTTTTTTTTACCTCCAGCGGTGGCACAGGGGGCGGTCCAAAGCCTCCCGCGCTTTTAGTGCAGCTTTCTTCTTCCATCGGTGGTGTAGGGGGCTTTGCCATGCCACCCACACTTTTGGTTACCTTCCAGCGTTGGTGCAGGGGGCTTTGCCATGCCTCCCACACTTTTGATATAGCTCCCAACGGCGGCACAGGAGGCGGTCCTATGCCTCCCGCGCTTTTAATATAATTTCCACCGGCGGCACAGGGGGCGGTCCAATGCCTCCCGCGCTTTTGATATATAGCTGCCTAGGAACGGTCAGCGGTACCGGTGCCGGTCATCGCACAGGTTTATTGCTGATGATTGTATATATATTTTTTATATATATATATATTTTTTTTTTTATTATTATTATTGGCCCTTTTGACTCAGGCGGCGCCGGTGCTGGTCATCGCACAGGCTCGTAAATATTTTTTTTTTATTTATTTATTTATTTAAAAAGAATTTTTTTTTATATTTGATATTTGAATATTTGTGATTAACACTTCAATTGTTTTATTTTTCCATAACTTCCACTTAGCTTTGTATTCTTGGTTACGCCGTTGTTTTTTTAATGTAAATCAAGTTTCAGATACTTGAGGTTCAAAATATAGGGTGTACGAATAAATGTTTTGGGCACTGTATATGAATATTTGAAATACACAGGGAACTCGGTTTCAGATACCGCGCGCTTGGCTTTTTTTTTTTTAAACACGTCCGAAGATTGTGACTATGTCACGGTCGCCATGTAGTGAAAGATGCCCATTAATTAAAATGCACAAAGTTATTTCGGTTTAAAATATTTATTGAGAGCTGGAGCAGGCTAGGTCCTACTCCAGGAACATCCGATTTGATTCTCTTCGCTTAAGAAAAATTGGCCTTGGCTCACAATTCATATAGCTGCGCGAGCAGCGCCGCGGCCGAACGTTATTGTATATAAACATGTATATTAATATATGTGTGCCACTGCAGAGCAGCGGTCAACGCTTATGCATAAGTGTATATGAGCGGCGCAAGCAGCGGGCGCGCATGAGAGGGAGAGTGTTATGCTCACACTGTAAACGAATGATCGGCCGCGCATGCAGACATGCCGGCTCAGCATTTAGGATGCTCATAACATTGTTGTGTGGGTCGAATTACTCTGCACTTGAAGTGCTGGGAATATTTGGCCATAACCAAACGCCACAATGTTGCAGTGATATACATAAGTGGTACAGTGTGTACCCGATATGTGAGCATACTACATCTCCCTCCTTTTGAAAAATAACGTAATATAATGTAGTTATTTTCATAGTAATTATATTAAGTAAAAATTAAAAAGAGAAATGAAAAAATTTTGGGAAAAAGTATGCGATTATTATGCGATTATTGTTATTTGGTTTTTTTTTTTTTAAATGTATATGTTATTTAATGAGTTAACTATTTAGGGAAGTTATTGGTATTGCTATTTCTTATATTGGTTTTATTGCTTTCCTGTTTTGCCTGGGTTTTTTTTTTTTCAAGTTTTATTTCATATGGTCAATACGGCCATAGATTGGTGTAGAATCCGATGGGGTTACATACGCAGAAGTATGTTATACTTGAAATTATGTTCCTTTCCTAATTCGCAATAAACGTCTTTTACTGGATCGTACTTAGAATAAAATTTTCAAATATTGCTTGTGCAACAGTATATGCATTTTTATTTCAGACTTAGGCAGTGGACCGATCGTATCCACGATTACCCTGTCGAAAGCTGTTAGTAGTGTTTCCGTACTCGTTAATGGGGTCTTTTTTATGCGTTGTTATTTTTGCTTTTGACATTTAGACATTTCCGTATGTACTCTTAAATATATCGAGTCATACCTTTCCAAAAGTAATGTCTTTTGACTTTGGCCAAAGTTTTTGTAATGTCAGTGTGACCTCCTTCTATTAGTAAATCATGTATCGTAGACAATATAGCTTCTTCTTTTAAATTTTGGGTCACCGGGTGAGTAGCTACTCTCATATATATATTTTATTTTATTGCCCATTAATTAATAATTATCTTTGAACTTGTCCAAAGATAATTTCCCACGGTGCCACTTTGAGTTGGCTGATTCGTGTATACCGGCCTGCATTTCAAGCCTTTGGAAAACTGACCTTAGCCCTGAGTTCCATTAGTATATAAATCGCTAATCTCATATCTTGCAATTATTCCGTTATTGTTCCTAAGATCATAACATGTTTTGTAATTGCAAGGTCACTACTTTACGTACGTCGTCATTGTTTATGACTCCGTAACGTTGGGCTTTGAAGCTTTTTATATAGATTGCCTGGGCAATTCTATTTATCAATTCCTGCAGGATTATTGTCTACTTTAATTTTTTGTAGTGACTTTTTTTTTTAATCAGTCTGTTTTTTTTTTAAATTGGTACATAAGTGGTCTGTTATCTGTTTGACAGTGAAGTGTCTACCATAAACATATAGTTTGAAGTATCTTATTGCCCGATGCGTTTGATTCAAAGTTATAATCATGAGTTTAATTTAAAGTATAATTATTACATTAATGATTTTATAATCATTACATTAAAGTAGGAGTCAAGCCGCTCCATTTAAGATATATAATTAAGGAAAGAACAACT